ATTAATATAGAAGCTAAAAATTTCAGCATTTCAATTACACAACATACTTGTAAAGAAAATTTAATTCTAGTCATGCAATGCATAAGTATTACATGTTATTCAATGTCATGTTACATGCTAATTCCAGTCTCAAGTATCACAACCATAATTCCAGCTTTAGGAACAAACTATGAAGGCAGTTTTTAATTCACAATAACTCCATCAAGCTTACACAAAACTATCCAATAGTTGAAGCAAATTAAACATGGAATTTCATTTTGTAAGCAACAACAACATAACCATTGAAATTACTAAATTTTCAGTTTAATGCACATAGCACAACCAACATTTAGAAGAGCTCAATTTCAGTATTTATAACACATAACACATCATTGTTATATAAACTACAAAATTTCAGATTTAATTCACATATACATGCTTGTAAAAAAAAAAAAAATTCAATTTTAAGCATATATTAGTTCAAAACTTAAAAGATTAATTCACAAGAGGTAAATGAATTGGGGTTTAGGACAACTCCTACCTCAAAGAAGTTAGCCAAACCAAACAAGCCCTTAAGCCTCCAATTTTCGAAATTCCCTAAACCCCTTGCAATATTGGTCTCAATAAGAAGCTCTTCTCAAGCTCATCACTTCTTCATCAATGGCTTCATCAAAATCTCACTTTGATCTATCCAAAAACAAGCTTGAAGCTTAGAAAACAGTAAGTGTATATAGATAGATATAGAATGAGAAAGTGAAGGTTTTAAGAGAGAAATAGGTTCTGCCGAGAAGAAGAGAGAAATGAAATGGTTTGGTCAAAATTTGACTTGTGGTCCATGACTTGCCACTTGTTAAAATGTGAATGAATTACACTTTATGGTTAGTTACACTTTTGTCCATCTATAACCATTGAAACTTCATCTATGTCCCAATAAATAGGAAAATTTGGTAACATTACAATACACACCTTTTGAACTTTGTCAACCCCCTATTTTTCCCTCATTTCGGCTTAGCCCTTCCTCTCTAAGCTTCATCTTCTCCATTTTGTGAGAGAAGCAAGAAGGGAAAGTTTGTAACACTTGACTAGAGCTTTCATTTAAGAATTGCAACCCCTTGGAGGAATTCTAAAAATTGACCTAGCTAGGGCTTGTTTGGTTGTCTTCCTTGAGGTAAGGGTGTTTAATTCATTATGTCTTTGCCTCTTTTTGAGTTTCATTATGTGTATTGCATGCTATGTATGACTTATTTGAAAATTCTTGCCTTAAAATTGCTTGATCATGTTTCTATGTGATGAAGTCATGATAAGGTGTGATGTATGTATGCCACGTTGCAAAGTTGATCAATTAGCATGTCATATGTGTATAAATTGTTATCTTTGAAACAATTGTGTTGCTATAATCGTCATGAGTAGTTAGAAAGTATGATTTAATGGGAATGCCAAGCATGTTAATGTTAATTTAAGATGATGTATCCTTAAACTTGTTAATGGCATCTATGGTTGAATGCTTATACAAATGTTGATGAAACTATAACATGATGATTTAATTCACAACGACGCATGTCACTCATAGTATGTGCATGGTAGAAAGGTTGAGTTGGGTTTCCATGAATGGTTCTGAAAGGGTTTTTAGAAAGAAACCAGATTTCACGAGTCCGGTGCTAATTTGACTTAGAGGGAGCGCGTACCAGATTTGGACGTGTAATATTGCATTAACTAGGCCCTAAATGGTTGTTGAATTTGAAGCTAGGGATAGTTAAGTAATCTCACTTTGGTAAAGTCAATTAGCAATTTTCGATGTGAGTTATGTCGGTTTAGGACTGGAGTTGGGATGACATTGCATTTCATGGCATTGTGCATGTTTTTAAATTGCTAAATTGTGAAATAAATGCTACTATTGTTATGTATGTTGTTGTGAATACTTGAAACCCCTAAGCATGATCCCAGTTACTCTTTAACCCCTTTCCTTGGCGATGGACTCAAGGGAGTCTAAAATCGATGCCTTAAGCATCTCTTACTGAGCCTCCGTGCTCATCATTTCCTTTAATATTTTTCAGGTTATGGCAAGAAGGTGATAGATGACGCACCCCCACAAATGTAGTCGGAGACAAATAACTCATATTTTGTAGTTTTTGTATCAATGTTTAGATAGACAATGATTATTCATGTAATGGACCATTATTCGTTAGCACTATGTGAAAGCATTGTAGTTGTGGCTATGAAGGCCTTATTTTGTAAACCTACTTCTTTTGGAAAGTTTTTATGTATTGGGTTATCATAACAATGGATTATGTGGGCAATGGATGGTTATCAAGGTATATGAGCTAACGTTATCATTTTGTTAGGTTTGTAGTTCATCTATGATGTATAAATTTCATTCATCAATGTGCTCAAGTGTATAACCATAATTCGGACAATTTTGAACCATGAGAATGCATCCAAGTTCCCAAGTATCTTTCTTGATTCAAACCATAGCTTTGTAGAGGCATTTGACCATTTTTCAGGGCTAGCGCTCGAGCACAGGGCCTTAGCCAAGAGCTATTTGTGATAAAATGGTCAATGCTTGAGCATTGACCATTTTATCACAAATAGCTCTCGGTTTCGGGTCCCAGAGCTCAAGCATAAGAGTGATTTTGGTGAGATCCCGAGAGCAGCTCTCAAGACTTTTCATTTTTGGTCCTAGAGCTCGAGCACAAAGGGGTCTGATCCTATACCCATGCTAACCCAAATTTCGAACGCCTATAACTTCTTCGTTTTAAACCCAAATAAGGTTTTTCTTGAGTCCAACTTGCATGTTTTTGAGTCATATTTCTAATGGTGTAGGTCTCATTCCATAATTTTGACATGAAATGACCATATTACCTTTACCTTTATCAACCCTAGAGTTCTAGAGTGAGCACGAAGTCGAGATTATCACTCTTTCTTGATCCGATTTGGTTAGAAACGATTGGTGTGCCATTATTATGACTCGTAACATATGGGGAGGTACATAATGACAATTTTACCCTTAGTGACCTCGGGTCGGGTTGGACCCGGTTAGTGATTCTGATCTACCGGTTTGGGTCGTTACTAGTGCTTCACTCCCCTCTCTTAAACACAAATTGCTGTGATAATTAAACTCATGTGGCTACCGTCTCCCTCTGGCCAATTCTCCATATCTCAAACCATGAAACATTACAATCAGTACCACATCACTCTACCATAGCCACATCTAGTCTAGACAAAGCCCTCAATACCGAAACATTCTTTTACCCTCTGGATTGCAATTCAACATAGACTTCCTATATAGAACAGAAAGTGTACATCACATATCAATTCTACGTTGTGTATCCTTTGCAATACTTAATTAGAGTCCCATGACCATCTCTTCATCAAATGTTCTTCTGTTAAACATTTATGGTTATTTCTACAAGCACGTTGTGGGTTTCACATTCAACCATCCTCATGGACAGAACTTATTGTTTGGGCATCACACCATTGGAAAGGTAATTCGGAATTCCACAGCAACTCAATATCTAAAATGAGTTTGGCAGCCTTAGTCTACCACACACGGAACGAACGCAACCGGCGGATCTTCAAGAAGAAGTCTCTTACAGCTAATTCATTACTCCATCAAACCTTGGAAACAATCAGATCCAAGCTCTTATCATCCTCAATATTGGACTCATTCAATGGTAGACGAATTGCAGAGGAGTGGGAAGTCCCTGAATCGGTGATTCGTCTTCCGGCGAAGCCACTTGATCCTGTGAGCTGAAGAGACCATTTAATGGAGTTCTTCTCCTTCATCACCGGACAATACTGGGGTTTGGTTGGGCCTCTCTTGTTTTGGACTTCATCTTGGGCTCTTCTTTGTATCATGGGTTAGCAAGAGTTCCTTGGGCTCTTGTATCATTGGTTAGCTATGTGCTAACTTCTTTGGGCTGTACAGTTCTCTTTCATTTATACATTTAAAATTTTAACTTTTAAAAATAATAATAATAATAATCTGCTCCTCGTTCATCATTGGAGCAAGCATCTTATCATCTTCGATTTGATCGAGAATTGTGTTTGTTCTTATATATATACATTGAGTAAGTAAGAATGTACGTGTGTGTTTGTCAGAAAATTGAAAAACACTTTTTTTTTTTTCCTGTATCTTACATTGATCTAATTTAAAATTCATTTTTTAAAGAAAAATAAAAAATATTTTCTAGAATTTAACCAAACAATGTAATTTTTTTTTTTTAAAAAAAAAAAAAAATTAAAAAGTGTAAAAAGTGAAACAGACAGAAAAAGTCCTCAAAAAAATATTTACCGTGTAAAAAATATTTTACAGTGAAACCGACAGAAAAAGTCCTCAATATAGTCTTTCACAACCATCAATAAAAAGTATGAACTTTATTTGAACACAATTTGTGTCAGCAAGTTCCAGTGAATTTGCAAACCCAAATTTTTATAGAATAACATGATCATCAAAAAATTTGCATGATCCAAAAGAAAAAAAAAATAATAATAATAACATCATTTCCTTTCATGCTTAGATTCCTTGTAAACAATGAGTCAATGAGTACATATACATACTGATCAACTCTCCATTGAGCAACATCTTTTGAAACTGCAAAAAATTCCTTTTCGTTTTTTTGGGTAAGTATGGAGATGCATATAAATTAGCAAAAACCAGTTACATGTCTATAATGACGCATTCCTCCCCAAAGCTACAATATTTTTTTTTTTGGTTTTGTTTTTAATTAGTGTCCTGTAGATGATATAGTCGGCTTTCAATCTGCAATAGCAAGATGAAATCAAATGACGAGTCCCTTCTCTGTTTGCTAACCTTGTGGGATTGAATCTGGTTTGGCTTTAAGCAGATGTTGTACCAAGTACTACCACTTGTTCATCATTTGAAGTACTCAATTTCGAGCAAAGAAAGAAGAAGGACGACATGTAGATCGTGACATGCCATAAGCTGCAACATCAGGTACACATATAAATATATATATATATATATATAGAGGGTGTGTGTGTATGATAGTATCATAAGAGTTTTACCTGTGCCAAATCCAGTAGTTTTGACTGGTTTCTACTTCCCTGCTAGTTACAGCCACAGACAATGAAATTGAACCTAGGAGCACATAGCCCCAGTGAAATCTTTCGCACAGTGTCCTCATAAGTTTTTTGAACCACGCTTTCAAATTTCGCTGTCTGCCAAAAAGATGCATCTTCAGTTTACCATTAGAACAAAAAATTTACGTACATGTTGTGCTCTCACAGGCAATAGTATACCTTGGAAGATTGTTTAAACTAGAACTTAGTGAATATGATTGCAGCTCAATTGTACCGAAAAACTCTATAAGCCAACCAACAACAAGAACTAGAGCTCCAAGTGCTAGTACAATAACGATATTTATAGACCTGCAGAGTTACATAATATTGTTACATAATATATCCCAATCTTAAAACTTTTTAAACAAAACCATTCAAACTTAAAAAGTGTCAATTAATCATTCTTGGTTACCTGGTTGGTTCAACTGCAGCCATGAAAGCTGTAATCATTCCTGCAATTGAGAGAATTGTCCACTTCGCGATGTTGCCAATAGTTGGTAGATATAAAAATGTGCTTACCACAGCCAAAAACGAAATCCAGAAGTCCGTAAACTGAAATCATGTTGCAGTTGAACTTTCATCAATGATGAAACACAGAGGAAATAAGATATATATTTATATATATATAGTGATAATGGTTTACTTTATAACTATCAAATTTTTTGCATCAACCACCATATGATTATAATTAAAAGGACTTTTAAGTACTATAAAGGAATTTTTCGGTTTGGAAACTGTCATTTGATATTATGTACCTGTAGAACTTGGAAAGAGAAAGAACACCATAGTCCAACGTCACAAGCATGATAAAGTGCACTTGAGATTCCACTAAATGCGAAGACTATAGCCTCCAGATATGCCTGTGCAAAGCAACAAAGTACATTTTCTATGAGATGAAATACTGAATGATAGGTCCGGTGTGATTTTATAGGTTCAACTGATAAATGGTGATTCAGTATTGCTTAGAAATCTAGTCTTGAGACTATCAAACAGTGGTATACCTTCTTTGAAAAGGCCCGAAATGCAGGAAACAGGGCTGCAGCATTGGATGCAATGAGAAAAATCGATTCGCATCTCTGCACTACATGAATTATATAAGCAGATGCATTAGGTAATAAAGTAACCGAAGTTATAAACAAAAGAAGAAAAAATTTGGGGACTGTTTATTTATTTTTCAATTTATTATTATTTTTTTTCCATGAAGAAAAGAAGACAGCAATATTGAATAACCTGCTTGTGGAAATATTTCTACGCTGCAGTCGAAGCCCCCATGGAATCTATCGCATAAGCAGTAGCTGAGAAAGAAATGACACCATCACTACTAGGTCAATGCAAAACTTGTGAAAATGATATATAAGAATACTATAGAATCTAAAAAAGGAAAAATCCGGGATGAGATACTAAAATTAACAAGCAGACATGAATGACTGTGATTGCATGAAAGCACACTATACACACACACACACACACACACAAATCTGCTTGTGGTTTACTGAAAAACAAAGTAACTTAAAAAGCAAACTGAAAACTCATAAGATCAGTAGAAAGAAAGAGGGATAAAGATATAACCTATAGAGGAAAAAGCCGGTTGTACCATTCTGTGACTGACATGTCCCATGGCCAGAGCACCGATTTGGGCAATTTTCAATGGAAATGTGCATGGTAGTCCGAGGATTCAGTGGAGCACCAATATGAATTGGGTGTCTCAATCCAAAATTCCAAGTTCCTTCCCTAGCATACAAGATGTAGAAATCGACCCTTCTTTCATTCGAATCATACAATTTGAACATGGAACCGTTGTTGCTATTGCTAGTCTTGCTCGAGTAATAGTAGTCCCAATTATAAAGAGACGGTAACCCACCAAATCTTGCATATATTTCATAACTTATTTTCGTGTCCGATACAAGTTGAATGTGAATAGTTTTTCCAGCTGCACCTGGTGGATTGTCCAGAAAAAAATAAGTCCAAGCAACATCCGATTTGTCCCCATATGAAAAGTTGCTCAGAAGGGGTTCAAGAGTGAATTTAGCTAACTCCATGACCCTATCTTCACCGGTTAATATGTAATCATCAGAAACAGCCTGGTTGTATTTAGAATCTGCCTGCAGAGTGAATTTTTCATGCAGATATAGATATGTGTATATATATTGAGAGAGATGACTAAAAAAGCCTAGTGTGACAAACACAGAGAAAAGGCAGAGAAAGTGACTGTGATTATTAGGCAACACACCTGAAGCTTGTATCTTTTCCAATTGCAGTTAGGTCCGGCCTTTGACAGAGGACATTGAAGTACATCCCACTCCAAGGAATAGCAAAAATTCGATTTCTCTTCTACTCCTCCTCCATATAGATTGGGCTGATTTACCGGTTGGATGATGAAATACCAGGTACCAACCTTTGGCAAGGGAATAACTAGAGGCCCTTTGCTTAAATTGCTGGAATAATCGTGCAATGTTGGAGTTGGTAATGCACTATATCGAGCATAACACATTAGAGAAATTCCACTAGCCTCCATTGTATAGTTGATAAAAGCTGTTTGATCGAATTTGCTACTTTTAACCATTATGATCAACTTCTCTGCTGTTTCACCAAAATTCAAGGAGTAGAGTTTCTGCTCCATAAGTTCAAAGCATGAAGCTTCGAGAGAATTCTTGCAAGAAACTACATCTCCAACCGTTTGGTCCATCATCTGACTAGCAACTTGTTCATTTCGTGAAAACTCGTTGATATCATAATAACCACATACAAGATCATAAACTGTCTTGGAACAAAACTCTCCCGTCTTTGTAGAATCCGGGCAGCCTACAATTGTTATGTTGGAACTGAAGGTGTGTGCTGAACCTCTATTAATCTGCTCCTCCCAAAAAGTAATAAATAATAAGATTTTACTCCCAAATAAATATATTTAAAGATGGAAATTGTGGGTAAAAGGATTAGAAAACAACAATATATATACATATATACATACTACATAAACACATATCATATATTGTGCAAGTGAAGGAACAAGTACATAAAAGAAGATTGAATATGTTAAAATGACTGATAATTCAAATACAGAAAATACGAAATACTAACCATCTTTTTTTGAGTTCTAATGGGCCCAATGCCATTGAAGATGCCAAAATATAAAACTCCTGCGGCAATCTGCAATCATATTGAGGTTTGATCTTCATTATAGCAAAAGATTATATAAGAAACTATTTATAGTTTTTATTATAATAATAATAAGTAAATGAAAAATAAATAAAATAAAATCACCAGCTCATTTGTCATTGTCAATGTTATCTTCTTCTGCAAAGGATAGCAATGTCCCACATTCTGAAGATACTGTATATCTTCAGCAGATCCATTTTTAAAGAAGTGATCTAGCACTGCAAAAAAAAGGAATATAATCAGAAATAGAACACAAACTACATTTGATGTGGCTTAAAACTGAACCATAAAAACATAATTTTGTAACCCTCATTTCTGAATTCTCCTAGTAAAACAGGGTGTGCCTACTTTAAAATTATTAAACACACACATGTTGATGCTTAAGGTCTCATTGATGATATTGTAAACTGCAATTCACCAAGAAAAGTGTAAGTACTTGGAATTACTATGTATAAGATACTTTTATGTTGCTTATGAAGCTTATATAGAAAATCGATCACACACGAAACATTATTGATTTGATAAAAGTAGTAGTCATCAAGCTGAGTTTTTTACCTAAGCTTTTTAAAGAATCATTCGAGACATCTGGAAGAGGGGGACCTCCATCTCGAAAGCAAATGATAGGAAGCTTTTTGCTTGGATGCTTGCCTATGCTTTCTATATCCTGCAAATGGTGTTACATAGGGAAATTGAAGAAGGCAGCAAGACCAAATTAGAGAAATTTCCATTTTCCTCAGAAAATATTTTCTTTTTTCAGGTAAAATATTTTTTTTATTTTTATTTTTTGGTGTTTGGGTAACTTACTTTTGTAAGATTTTAATTTTCTTTGTAAATATTCTACGACAACCAAACATCAAAAAATAAAATAAAATTCTAAAAAATATTTTACATCTAAACAAACAAAGTAGAGCAAGAAAAATCTAATGCAACATTGAAGGACAATGTATGAATAATGTAAATGATCTTGCAGCACTAGGTATGATAGGCATACTCACAATGTTAACATCTGACTGTAACGAAATCGAAACCGAGGAGTACCAAGATGGTAGATCAACTGAAACATTTCAAAGAAACCAAAACCAGAAGATTTAATGAGTAAAATAATAATTCTGAAATATAAAGTATGCATGAAAGATCAACTGAAACAACCTAATCCCTAGTCACTTTGTACTTTCGGATGGTTTTTCAAATTCCGAACATACACAATGGTGTTCAAATTCCAAACGCACACAATGGTTCGCAAACCATTCGTATAATTTAAGTCTAGACCTCACCTTTGATAGTTTTGAACTGAAAACCTAAAAACAATCGAGCTAGCCCGTGCAGGGCATGACTTTAGATTAAGGCTGCTAAAACCCTTCATTCAAAATAGTAGTAAATAATCGCCGAAGGACACTAGAGTAGTGAATCGGGACCTTGAATTTAAAAATAAACTTGTCAGCATGAACTCTGAATTGGTATCTTAAATATGGAATCAAAGAAAATTTAGTTTAAAGTTTAAACTAAATTTCATCCAATACTAAATTTCCTCTAATTTTAAATTCAAAGTCTCAAATTTAGTGCTCCCAGACGTAACAACAAGTGTACTAAACAAGCCAACATGTAAATCAAGCTTGCTTGCATATATGTGTGTGTGTGTACGTATGTATGTATTGGCACCTCTAATGTAAATCCAGCCATAGGGCTTGAGCTTAGTCTTGGGACAACCGACTGTTGACAGTGAGATGGCATTAGAAGTACTCAGATCATCATCACAAGAACATAGAACTACAAGACATGAAAGTAAAAGCGCAAAACAGAGGTTCATCAAAGAACCCATGATTGAATTGCTTGCTATGAATGAAGAATCAAAGGTAAGAGTTTCGTTTTAGTAAGTTTGGAACATAAAAACAAATATATATATATATATATATATAGACACTTCTCAATGTAAAAATACTTTCCTATTAGAACGGACCTAAACAGTCAACTTTCCATTATTGCTTTCTTTTACCTTTTTCCTAAATAAATTAGTAAGAATACTTCGTATCATTAATGTTCTCCGTTATTGTTTTCTTTTAATTGTTTTGAAAAACTGTTTTTTTAATTTTAAAATTCTATGAAAATTGACCTCACATAATTAAACCAAATAAGGCGCTCCTTTATTCCCAATTTCCCCCCTAAACGACACTCATTTAAAAAAAAATTGTGCCACTTATTCCGACCAGGTATGATGTTTATGTGGTCTATATGTTTTATTAGGCGTTTCGGCCTGTTTCTCATTCCTTGGGCTTGTTTTGTTAGTCCCATTGCTTGTTGGGCCATCTTTATTTTTGTCTTTCGGTCGGAGCCCAGCCCAACCTTAACTTTACACATTTTCCCTTATTTACACATTCTTTGCTTGTGTTTGCTTGGAAGAAAAACACACACACACACACAGTGATCGAGTTTATTATTGAGCTTAATTGTCTATGTTTGCTGGTATTTATGGAAGAGTAGAAATCGATTTTATTATGAGCAAAAAGAGATTGGGGAGAGGGTTCTAATGCAGTTAGCGTTTCACCATTGGAATGAGTATCAAGATTCAAGAGGTTATTAAAGGCGGCCATAAAGCTAGGATAAGTAGCTCCTCTCAATTTGATACTGTGCGATGGAAGGCTTCTGCAGAAAATGTATTGAAACTGAATTTTGATGCTGCCTATAGAGATCACACCAAAGATGTTACTGGCTTAGTTCTTCGAGATTATAGAGGTAAGGTTCTAAAGGCAGTCATCTATTTCTTTCTAAACGTGGCTTCTACCCTAATAGCTGAAGCCATGTCTGTAAGATTAGCCTTAAAGTGAGCTCAAGCATGGAAATTAATAGAAGTGGAGATTGAAGGAGATTGTAGTTTGGTGATTAATTCGTCAAAAGTTTTAGTTGATATTGATGCTCTTTGGGAGATATTCAGGCTTATATTAAACTACATGATCGATGGAAGATTGGTTGAGTGAAGAGGCGGGCAAATGTTTTGACTCATAGTCTTGTCTAGTATGCTATGCTGAGAAGAGATACTGTATGTTTTTATGATATTTTTTCAACTTTTATAGAAGATAAGACTTATATGGATTGTATCCATATTTAATTTTATCTAATGAATGATTTTCTTACCTTGCGAGAGAAGGAAAAATAATAATAATAGTAAAGGATAGCTGAACTACTCTACCAAATATTTCACCGAATAATGCCCTACCGAACCTAATTCAACCCTCATTTTTCAGTTTTGGCGCTCTATGGGCTCCTTATCCCGCTCCAATTATGAGTCATAGCAAGTTGTATAGTAAGGCTCTTAGTCAAAATAAAACTTTTCCTATTATTAAATGATTATTTTACTTCCAAACTTTAGCTTTGGAAAACGTTATTGGAATCTAATCGTATTCCACGGTTTGCTTTGCCCAATATTTAAGACCAGACATTAAAATAAATAAAAAGTCATCATATGAAAACACTGTCACATTAAAAAAAAACAAAAAAACACATACCTACTCCAACCATTCCCAACTTTCTCTTTTTGTCCTTCCATGGAATGATTAAACCCTTCACTTTAAACAAACTAGAGTTCAAAATAATGCAACTGTACTAGTGCTTCTAATCACACCATTCCCTCCTTGTCTCCCACGTACGGTTGGGTACTAGGGTACTTGGTCTTTCTAAGCTAATGGTTGGAGCAGAAATTGTACGGTGAGACTGCATAGTTTAAACCAATCACAACGAATGTACAAGTAAAAATATAAATAAAATTAATATATTTATTTATGTGTTGAATTGTGATTAACCGGAATCATATAATTCTTAACAAAATTAATACGGACCTGCTTGATTAGTTATTTTGAAAATAGTACTCAATAATTGAGAAAATAAAAAACTATTTTCAGAGAATTATAAAAAACAGTTATTTAAAAACAGATTTTTTTTATAACTGAATTTCAAAAAACTGTTTTCAAAAAACAATACCAAATGTTGCTTAGTTAGTTATTTTGAAAACAGTTCCTAAAAATTGAAAAAACTGTTTCCAGAGAACTATAAAACAACTTTTAGATAATTAAACTAAATAAAAAATTATTTATTTATTTATTTATTTATTTTGTTCAATTTCTATTTTTATAAAATAAAAAATTATTTTCAAAATTACAAATCAAATAAACCCTAATATGTTGCATCATGATTGATGAGAAATTTGTAGTCGAAACCTCCTCAATGTATATAATTGACCTAGACTATTGAAAGGCAGACAAGAGATTAGACCTCTGGGCCCCATAGGCCCTATATCTTGTTGGGCCATTTTGGTCGCTAAAGAATTTTACTTTGCTTCATTCTAAGTTTTGTGTTCAAAGTTGAAGACAACATATACGGAGTATATATTTTGGCAATTGCAAATTTGCTGTTGTTTGAATTGGGGGGTCCATGTGAATTCGAATGTGAGATCAGTTATGGATGATAAGTATCTTTCCAAGAAGAAGAAGAAGATATTGTGATGATAAGTAAGGAAGCTCTTCCAAATTTAATCACATTCTGATAAAAACAAACTTTAATTACTATTTAAGGTTGTAATTGAGGCCAGTTAAAATGCAAATAAATCTCTCTAAATTATATTTGAATTTGTAAATAATCCTCCTTAATTATATTTTGTACCTAATACTTCTTAAATTATCACATTTTGTTGCAAAATATTTCAATGTCTATAATATATTTCATTAAATGACCATAATGCCCCTTATTGAATTACACTTAATCTATTTTTATTATTTAAATAAATTATAAAAAAATTCAAAGTAATATGATATATTCTCCATTAAATTTGCATAAATTTACCTTTAATTTTTGAAATTGATGTTTAAATAAAAATCTCTAGTATTAATTTTTAAATTTTTAATGAATATATTATATGAAAAGAATTTTTTTTTAAAGTAATTTATTAATTTTTCATCAATACATCATATGAAAAAGAAGATATTTTCCTATTGTAAAAAAGTTTTATAATAAGTTTTATTATAAATAATAAAATTTTAATAATAAGTTAATCATTCTAGAAAATGGTGGTTACAAATTTTTTTTTTTTTTTTAAGATAAATTGATACTAATAATAAAATTAAGGTAAAAAGTATAATTAATATTTAAATAAGAGAAGAGATAATAAAAATAATTTAATAAGAAATAAAAATTTGAATGAGAAAAGATAAAATAGACTTTTGTGATAAATTTTTCATTATTTACAACAAATCAATAGTTGAGATGGATAATTTTTTTGTTTAGGAAAGTTATTTGCAAAAGAATAATAGTTCAATCGGGTTGTTTGCACTTTATCCTTGAGACTGCCATGAAGTTGTAATATTTAGATAAAGAGATTAGTATATTAATGGAGATTTGTTAAGTTAGACTCTATTTCTAGCACTTAAAATAAAAGTGATACATGATGTACAAAAAAGTGATACATATGTGCACAAAAAATGATATCTATGTATCTAAAAATGGTATCTATGTGAAAGTGAACAATATTTTTTCACGTTAGTATTTTGGTCAATTGCATTTTTTTGAAATTACGAGACTTTAACTCTATCAAATGATAAATATGAGTTATTAGTACCATTTATATGTAAAAATTCCTATTATAAATAGGGTGTACACGACTACAGGAGTTGAATTAACTAGAATTAACTAGATTTAAACATAAAACCAAACTAATTTGACCACGATTTCATAAAAATTGAAACCAAAATCAAACCGGTTTAGAAATGAAACAAATGAGACTTTCTTTTAAAAATGGCTTTTGCAAGGCTGTTTGGTGTGAATTGGTCACTAATTAAGTAATTTTGAATGGAGTAATTCGAATGCGTCTATTACAAGGCGCAACTAATTTTTCCTCATTTGTTGACGTTGTTAATGCTTTTCTGTTTTCCGTATTTAATTTTTTAAGATATACGTATGTATACCTTACCATACAAGGGATGCATCGAAGTAAAAGCCAAAGAAGAACCATATTGATATTTTTATCCAAACAATGATCGAAAAATTAAATAAATAAAAGCAAAAGCGAAATGTGAACTTCGAGAAACAAAGCAAGAACGAAGCTTTATCGTACCGCAGGCAAGCTTTGCAAGAGTCTTTCAATATCAAATTACAAGAAAGCCCCTGTGATTTTACTGTTCAAATTCAAATAATTAGGAGTAAATTAACATCGATTCAATTAACTAATCAAGGTCCTTTTGGTCAATCCACCTGCGACATTTGACTGCTTTTAGCCTGTCAGAAGATCGTGTATAAGCAAAGAGAGAGCCCAACGATGGTCCCTAAGGACAAATCAGGCATTTGGCATTGTCTCTCAACCAATCAAGTAAGATAATTCACAGGTTTATTTACCTCACCAATCGGAATTGAAATTGATCCACATAAAATTAATTCCAAAACCATATTAAGATTTTATAGAAAGAAAAATAGTTTTTAAATCGATTTCTAGTAACATTTTTTGATCTAGTAAATAAAACTTACACTTGAATTTATTCACTTCATCAAAAGAATTGATAAAACCCCTTTAAAAAACTTTAAACTCGTAGGTATTTATAATCGATTCAGAAACATAAGTATGAACTGTTGTGATAGAGACCATAGTCATGGTCTATTTTTACGTGTCGACAAGTGTAGGACGATTTAATTCCTTAAATTATACATATTGACCTGAAAGATGGGTTTAAAAGAAAATTTTCTAGTAAAAGTAATTCGAGTATTATTACTAAATGAATCATGATATACAGATCATCTATGACATTAATTAATTTACATGTAATTAAGATAAATCTTAAACATAATGAAAATTTTCTAGTAAAAGTAATTCTGATTATTACTACTAAATGAATCATGATATACATGACCTTAATTAATTTACATGTAATTAAGATAAATCTTAAACATAATGAAACACGTTACAAAATCTAATAATGCCATAGCAGTATTGTAGTTTATAAGAGTAAACAAACAATATCACCTGACAATTGAAGTTTTTGTGTTGAACAAATTATCGTGTCAAATTTTTATTAAACTTTCCTTTTTAATGTCTTATTAAAAAAAATTAAGGGCGTTATTGTCTTTTAAATTGACCTCAGATCACACAATACTTGCTTTTCTGGTTACCCGATCTGTCCAAGTCAGTCACCAGCAAAAACCAATGGAAACATAACATGCATTTATTACCACAAAGTCCCCATTATTTTCACCTAAATTACACCATTCACCCTCTAGATTCACTACGCTTTAAAGTGCCCTCACTCACTACATCCCCTTGACGCTTCACATCTGTTTCTCTGCTTAGTTGCAGAGCAAACAACAACAATGGCGAAACTACATCTCGCTTTCTCTCTCTTAATCATCCATTTCTCTCTCCTCCTTGCTTCCACGAATCCAGACGCGGAAGCTCTAATGGCGTTCAAATCAGCTTCGGACACATCCAACAAGCTCACCTCCTGGAACGCCACCACCGATCCTTGCACTTGGTACGGCGTTTCGTGTCTGCGAGACCGAGTCTCTCGACTCGTCCTCGAAGGTCTCGACCTGGTCGGCACTTTCCAACCACTCACCTCTCTGACTCAGCTCCGAGTTCTGAGTCTGCAGCGAAACCGCCTCTCAGGTCCCATCCCCGATCTCTCTAACCTCACCGCACTCAAACTCCTCTTTCTCGCCTACAACGATTTCTCCGGCAACTTTCCGTCTTCCGTACCGCCGCTCTTTCGGCTGTACCGCCTCGATCTGTCGTACAACAACTTGTCAGGTCCGATTTCGGCCACGGTCAATCGTCTGACACACCTCCTCACTCTGCGGCTCGAAGAGAACCGGTTATCCGGCTCGATTTCGTGGATGAACCTCCCGAATCTGCAGGATTTCAACGTCTCCGGCAATATGCTCACCGGCGAAATACCGAAAAGTTTGTCGGGTTTCCCGGAATCCGCATTCGCTAAGAATCTGGTTCTATGCGGTTCGCCTCTGAAGGAATGCGAAACGGTCTCTAGTGACCCGACTCGACCCGGATCATCCGGGGCCATTGCTTCGCCATTGAACCCAGCCACCAACCCGACTGTAGTAGCTTCCTCGCCAAGCTCAATATCTCCGCCGTTGAAGCCAGCACACAATCGAGCTGCTAAATCAGGCAGTATAAGTAATCGGGCCATATTCGCCATCATAGTCGGCGACATTTTGGTCCTCGCCGTTGTGTGCCTCCTCCTTTACTGCTATTTCTGGCGAAACTACGTCGCAAAAAGGCGGGACAGCAACAAGAGTTCGCAAATTCGCGACGGAGAGAAGATCGTGTATTCGTCGAGTCCGTACCCGGCCCAGCCCGGGTTCGAGAGGGGTCGGATGGTGTTCTTCGAGGGGGCGAAGAGGTTCGAGCTGGAGGACTTGCTCCGAGCCTCGGCGGAGATGCTGGGGAAAGGCGGGCTGGGGACGGCGTACAAGGCGGTGCTGGACGACGGCTACATCGTGGCGGTGAAGAGGCTGAAGGAGGCGAATATTGGTGGGAAGCGTGAGTTCGAGCAGCACATGGAGGTTTTGGGGCGTTTACGACACCCTAACGTCGTTAGCTTGAAGGCTTATTACTTTGTGAGGGATGAGAAGCTATTGGTCTACGATTTCATGCCTAACGGCAACTTGTTTTGGCTTCTTCACGGTACGTTACAACTCACAAAACCTCCCATATTCCATGTACAATACAGTAATAGCCTACTAGCTTTTTAATATTATAGAAAAATCATAGACTAATAAGTGAGTAAAAGTATATAAAGTTGACCCACAGTCAGTGACCATGTTGGCATATAGTAGTAATTTAGTCTAAACCCAATTTTAATCCCAACAAACATTAACCAAATTGACCCGAAAAGTAGTTTAGAGTGTTTTTCGAAAAATTTGTATACTGCAAAAGGTTTTTATGTTCGGTTGTATAAGATTGAGACTTGAGAAAATTTAGTTTAAGACGGAATTGGAAAAAAAAAAAAAAAAAAAAAAAAGGGGTTCTTTGGAGTGCTTTTTGAAAAATTTGTATACTAGTTTAGAGGATTTATGATATTATGTTGGTTGTATGAAATTAAAATTTGAGAAAATTCAGACCGAAATTAGCACGAAAAGGAGGATTTATGATCATGAAATTAAAAGAATCTCTTCTAATTTTTAAGACACCAATTCTATGCAACCAAGACACTAATTCCTAATATTTGTCATATTAGGTTTTCTCGAATATCAATTCTAAAGAACCAATTTCTTACACCAAATGTAGCAAACAATTTGACCTCAATAGAATTGAGATATTTGAAGATTGTACCATTCCAACCTCAATGGGGAGCTTGGTGAATTTAGAACAGTCTGATCTAGTGATTGATAGGGTCCCACAACTGTTGAATCACACAAGTAGTGTGGTTATCCAAAATGGACACCAGAACCGACTCCATTACCAGTTTGGGAAATGTATATGCTGTAGCTGATCAGAAGCGTGCTTTTTACACCGCATAATGGTGTCTGTATCCCCTTTATTTTTGTTCTTTTTCGTTGGGGTCTTCCGGTGCCTCATCTGAATCTCTGGACAATGGGATATGCGTATGTTAACTTTGATTTATTAATGGAATTATACAATATATATATATGTATGTATATATATATATATATACTCCGTATATAACAAATGGGTATTTGTGTATCCCAACAGGGAACCGGGGACCGGGACGAACCCCACTAGACTGGACAACAAGGCTAAAGATTGCTGCCGGAGCAGCTCGTGGACTGGCTTTTATTCACAACTCATGCAAGTCTCTTAGACTCACCCACGGCAACATCAAGTCTACAAACATCCTACTCGACACCGGTGGCAATGCACGTGTCTCCGACTTCGGACTCTCGGTCTTTTCAACTCCGTCCACCACTCCAAGATCCAACGGCTACCGTGCGCCGGAGGCATTGGACGGCCGGAAATCCACCCATAAATCAGACGTGTACTCATTCGGGGTGTTGTTGCTGGAGCTGCTCACCGGAAAGTGTCCCTCCGTGGTGGAGAGTGGTGGGCCGGGGGCGGGATACGGTGGGGTCGTGGACCTCCCGAGGTGGGTGCAGTCGGTTGTGAGAGAGGAATGGACGGCTGAGGTTTTTGATCTGGAGCTGATGAGGTACAAGGACATTGAGGAGGAGATGGTTGGGTTGTTGCAGATTGCAATGGCTTGTTCCTCGGCTTCGCCTGATCAACGGCCCAGAATGAGCCAAGTCATCAAGTTGATAGAGGAGATACGAGGGGTGGAGGTGTCACCATCTCATGACGCTGTCGACTCGGTCTCGGACTCTCCCTCCGTGTCTGAAGACACTTGCGGACCGAGTCATTGATAACGATTTAACCCAAACTGAGCGGATTTTATTCGTGAAAGAACTGTTGAGAATTCTGTAAATTTGTTCTTTTACTTACTTGTCCCTTTTCTTTCATTTTCTTTTTTGAAATTAAAATTTTCTTGGATTAGCGAATTAGTTTTTGCTTGGCGTTAATTCAGTTTTTTGTCCCTTCATTTTGGTTTAAATTCTGCTGAATTAAATTTTTTTTAATTTATTTGTGAGTTTAACAGAGTAGGTCAACTAATAATGATCACTGGAAGTTATTTAGAAGTTTTGGTACCGTTGGATGTTATTTAAATGTTTTAAGTATGAAAAAAATGTAATTACCATCATATTTAATTGTCATCATACTTTTGCATGGAGAATGTAAAGTTTACAGTATTATTTTCACGGTACTCTCATATTGCATTAGCGTACATGTTCAAAGATAATCGTTCCACATTTTCATCTTTCAAGTCATGTGATGGAGGAAATGTTACATTTGGAGCTTGTAAAGGCTTGTATCAATCTCAATATTAACGAAATATCATCTTATGATTGCAATGGTCTCGCTTGTGTTGACATGGTCGATTCACTTTTTACTGAATACATATTGAAAGGTCCCAAGTGGATATCGAAAGGCCCCAAGCTGAGGAAGTTCATCATTCCCCCGTTTGCGTCATTTGACGGGTTAGGGTGTAATACCCCTAATTTTTACAAAGAATAATCTCGGTATTTATTTATTTATTTTAATTGTATTTTTTAATTATTTAATTAATTATTTGACTAATTACTTATATGTTTAATTGAATTAGGTATTACTTGATTATTTGATTATGTGTCTATGCATTATTTGTATTTGTCTATGTGTTAATTGTTTAATTAAATTATGTGCTTAAATGATATTTTGATTAATTGTAAATTAAATATTTTCTTTTCTTTTATTATTTTATTTTATTTTTCTTTTATGGTTATGGTTAGTAGTAATGGGCCAACCAATTAGGTCCCATGGACTACTTGGATAGGAGATTGGATGTGTTATTGCCAATGGATAATGTATGTGTATATATAGATATATATTATATACATATATAAAAAAGAAAGTAATTTATTAATTATTTTTATGGTAACTTGGGTAGTAATATTTAATCTGATTTATATGTTTTATATTTAAATAATAAAAATATACATAAATTTGATACGTGTTATGTTTTAAGTTACTTTATAATATTATGGTAACTTAAATATTATTGAATAATCCATTAATAAATAATGGAATGTGTATAATTTATTTATTTAATAAACATATACATAAATTATATACGTAACATATTTTGCTTACCTTTTTAATATTTTTATTTTCATTTTTTTTTAGTTGACTTGGATTGGGAAAAGGGTTAGGGTTATTTTATTTAGCCTATAAATATATAGTTATAGGTTGTAAAAGGGGGTTAGAAATATTCACGCAATATATACTGGAGAGATAGTGTTAGAGAGGGAAGGAGGAAAATGAAGGAATGAGGAGAAAAACCCTGTAGAGAGAAGATCAAGGAAGAAGAAGTTTAACTTTCGATCCGAAAATTTAAGGTAAGTTCTTCTTCTATCTCTTTCCCTTTGATTCGTGTTTCTGTACATGCCTAAGAAATTCCAGGATTTCTTAAACACATAAAATTAAATAATTATGCATGTTTAATTGGGTTAGAACATAAGTTTTATGAAATTGGTTCATATCTGTTCTTGTGTTATGAATTAATAAAATGCATGATTTTGATTTGATTTCTTATGTGAATTTTTACATGTTTAAATTATGTATTTTTCATATCTGTGGAATGATGGAACGTAGAAACATGCTTAGGATTCCTGAACATTAAATAGGAACTAGGTTTGGGTTTTAATAAATTTAAATAGACTCAATCATATTTAAATGTTTTAAACAAACGAATGGATTTAATCTTTTAAAATATTTTAGCAATTGAGATTAAATGTGTAGGATGAATTGGATATAGAGAATCCTTATTTAACGGTATAATAAAATATCATCATGCATAAGATTTAGTTTGTGTAAGACATATGATATAGGAAGTTTAAAGAAATAATAAGTCATTCCTATTATGTGATAACTTGATATCATATTTATCATAGTTATTTATGAAATGTTTGATGTATTTCCTTAATTGTTACATCAATTGTTAGATTGTGTGGTTTAATGCACCGGTATGAGACGGTGGCATTCTAGGGATGGATTAACTTATCAGTTAAGTCCTACCTATTTTATATAAGGGAATGGATTAACTAAAATATTAAGTCCTACTTATATTTAAGTCAGGTCAGCTGAACAAGTTGAATGACTTATGGAGGATTAATTTATTATATATGGGAATGGATTAACTAAAATGTTAAGTCATACTTATATTCAAGTTAGGTCAACTGAACAAGTTGAATGACTTATGGAGGATTAATTTATACTGGATAGGATGGTTACTAGATTATATACATATAAGTATGGTGCCATGATATGAGTTTGAGTCTCAGGATCAATGGTTAGGGAGCGTATATTGAGATACCCCTCGGATCCGAGACACGGGTTGATCAGGCTCAGCCCCAAACCCGAGAGAATATCAAACAATTAATATTTTATAATGAACACAGAATACAAAATAAATTAAGAAATGAAATTAAAGCTGGAAGGAACTAAAAATAGAATCCGCAAAATATTATAATTATTAAAATCCATCAAACCCAAACTCCAAAACTCCATCAGTTTACAACTTGGGAATCCATCTCTAGTGGATCCCTATTAAACATCCAAACAGAAGATAGAACAACTGTAATAAACGTCCAGAAATAAAACTATAGAGAGAGCCCTACATCGTCGGAAGAGTGAATAGAGACCTCTACTCAGCACGAACACGTCTAAGCCTGGAACTGTCGTGTACCTGAAAAATAGAAGTGGGCCAGGCCCACGCGCAAGTTCTATACTACTACAATCCAAACAGAGGCCCGATACGCATGTACATCCTAAACAATTCAACAATAACTAATAGTCCGTAAATATATATATATATATATAGTCACAGTAAAGGACTCTCACTGGACTACAGGCCGGTTTCAACCTGAATAGAGGTAACATGCTAAAACGCACACGAAGTGGGCATATGTATATATACCTAAACGGGGTACACCTCCAACCATCATAGCCAGCTACACATCCTAATGCATATACGCTCCCTAGCCATCGGTCCTGAGGCTCAAGCTCATACCGAGGCACCATAACAGTACATATATAAAATCCATCCAAAATCCCTGGTATTGCCACTCAACAAGTAGTTGCCATGACAATACAAATCCACGGGACTTAACTTTTAGTTAATCCCATCCTTATTCCAAGTAGGTGGGTAATAGTATTGTTTTAAAAACCAAACCCATCCTTAGTATGCCACCGTCCCATACCGGTGCCTACTTTCCAATCCTCCAGTAGTCAATAATACCAATAAATCAAGAACATATCAACTAAATTCCAACATCCAATATTCAATGTTAGCAGTGATAAAATAAGCATTGATAAACAGGGTCACAACAACAACATATACATGCCCAATTTAAGTTGTTCCATTTAGTCTGATATAAAGACAGAATTAATTAAAACTTCCATTTAACACCTTACAAATGACATACAGATATGTAGGGTATGTATCACAAAATCCTAACCTCCACAGTTGATACTAACTGTGATAATGTAAGCATCAAAACAATATTCACAGTATGTATGTAGACATGCTCAAATTATAGTGTTCCACAAAACCGATCTAGTGTTAAACTCAAATCCTCCTAGTATTTAAGTTCCAACAGTTGCTATTACAGAAGTTAAGATAGCTATCATTTAGACCCATCCTTCCAATAATTTATACTAGCAGTGGTAAGGAAAAACGTGAACCACAGAACCACAATGCATCCACAAACATGCTTAGTCTAGGTTGAACAAGCATACAACACTACTGTAACTACCAGTTTCATAGCAAAACAGATATCATTTTAGTTTGGTTTAATCTTCATTAATCCTGGAATCATTTAAGAGTGCAAAGAGTATGAAGCCTAAGGGAAAGAGTAAGGATAGAATCTTGCCTCAGAAACTTTTGTTCAAAGTTTCAACGTCGTCTTCTTAAAAAATCCCGGCGAGTTCCAAAACCCGGTTACTGTTCATGGGTACGAAACACTATTCCCGAACTCAAAATCTGATCTCCACCGTTCAGATTGTGCGACATTGAGTCATGAACCTATCCTCCAAATTTTAGCTCGATCGGACCACGGACGAAGCAGGATTGGATGTTTGATGAAATCTGGGCAGAATGGAAAAAAAAACCTGTGCGACCCCGTTACTGTTCAGGAGTACGAATCACTGTTCCCGAGGTCAAACTCTGATCTCCACCGTTCAGATTGTGCGTCACTGAGTCGTAAACCTCTTCTCCAAAATTCAGCTCGATCGGACCACGGACGAAGCGGGATCGGATGTTTGATGAAATCTGGGCAGAATGGAAAAAAACCTGTGCGACCCAGTTACTGTTCACGAGTACGAATCACTGTTCCCGAGGTCAAACTCTAATCTAACCGTTCAGATTGTGCATCACTGAGTCGTGAACCTCTTCTCCAAAATTCAGCTCGATCGGACCACGGACGAAGCGGGATCGGAGCTTTGATCAAACATTGGCAGAATGTGAAACACTGCGTTTTTCCTTCTCCACTTCCACAAAACGTGTGCTTTGTTTAAAAAAAAAACCCTACACAGACGTCTACCTTATACTTATAGAGTTTTCCTAAACCCTAGGTTCATTTAAGTCCAACTCACAATCCTAACCGGCCCATCCAATTAACGTAGAAACTTACGACGGCTATAAAATAAAACCCTAATTTATACAGTAATTAAAACCCTAGTTAAATATATTTACCTAATTACCCTATTCACCATTAAATACTTAACAAATAATCTAATTGAACAAAATAATAATTAGTAAACCCAATTAAAGCAAATAAGACACACATAAAATAAGACACACATAGAATAATTAAACCAATTACACTAAAATCATTAATGTCAATTAAATAATTAAAACACTAACAAGTAATTCCAATCAAATAACTAAAAATAAATACCATTTAAATAAATTAAATCACCACAAAAGAAATAATTAAGTACCTA